TTGAGCCTAGAAAGCGGCGGAAGGTAGTGACTAGTCCAAATTCCAAGTTTGCCATTATTGAGGATATTTACAGAGTATAAGTTTAAGCTGGGGACCGCCAAAATGTACCGTTAGATTCCGACAGTTTTGCTAGTATTGCCTCTACTTTATCTCATATAATAATAGAAGAATAAAAAAGTTATTGAGGTTGAGAGTAAGTGGTGGTGAATTAAGCGAGGCGGCCGACTTCAGGGGGTGGCCGACTACTAGGGGGTTTGACTTATTAAATATTTCAAAATAAAAATAATTGAAAACTTTTATAAAATTTATATTAATTATTAATTATTATAATTACTTTATTTTTCTTTTTTAGAAAAATTATATTACTTTATAAAATATTCGAAATAATTAATAATTGTTTCCTTTTATTAATTACATTTTATATAATAGGAGAAAACTTTTTCTTATTATGAATTCTAATAAGAAGGAATAATATCAAATACTAATATATAAAAATTATATCCTTTTGTATTCCTTTACTATTGAACCGCATATAATATAAGCAATTCCGATTTCAATCGAATCATGGTTTGCTTGTATAGAGACTGAATCATCATTTTGCGATGCCGAATATATAATACTGAATAGAGGCATATCTCTTATCGTTAGCACTATCGCAAGAGCGCAGATTCGTGCGTCGACACCTGGTTTAACTCGCAGGATGGGTACCCTCGACCTTGTGAAGAGCTTTGTTATTCCCGCATTGGATTAACAATACAAGCATAGATCTACTGCTTGCTGCTGGCGTTTCGCATTGGTGTTTGAGTGACCGTGGCAGAAAAAGGCTCTGGTCAGAGGATATTCAGTCAAAAGAGGACCGGCAAGAGAACCAAAGAAAGCAATGACAAAGATCTCAGTGATTGAAACGACAATGGACACAACGGCTAGTCATATCCCTCTCAGCCCATTGGATCATGCGCTGCCAGGAAATTATACTTGCACTGTTTGTTACTTACCTCTGAAGCCTGATGTGAGCTTTTCCAAGGCCTTTGAGTTTCTTCAAGAAGGACTGCAAAGGATTTTCGTTCAGGTGCGTTGGGTGAGTGGTAGGGTGTGGCCACAAGCTCCCAATATTCTAGGCTGGCGGCCAGGACAGCGCGAAATCCGGTATAGTTCAGTCAACATCGATAGACCACGACCACACCAGCTGAAGTTCAATCAGCCGGATTCATCCTTGGTTATGATGAGCTCAGAGACTCCGGTTTTCCAATCGACACCTTCGATGATGCATTTCTGACCTGGTTTCCCTTCTTTTCTGACACCAACGATGGTCCCGATGTCTTCGTAGCACAGGCCAACTTCCTCCCTGGTGGTGGTATTCTTGCTGCATCTATGCATCATTTAGCATCTGATGGTACGGCTTTGTACACAATCCTCAAGCTCTGGGCGGATCACTGCAATTCTTTGCAGTCAGAAAACTCGCAGCAACCAGAACCGCCAGCGCCAGAAAGTCCCGATCGGAGTCTATTGGATAGCATATGGGCAAAGGAAGTAAAGGAAAAGTCGATGGACAACATCGATCCCGAAACATGGACAGTGTTTGGTATTCATCCTTCTGATATGAAGCCATCGAAACAAATGATCCGGTGCATGATCCAGAGCCAGCAGCGGTCATACCAGCCAATCGAGTCTTGAAGTCTGCCATCTTCTACATTTCGCCGGCAAACTTGGCTGTTCTGCACAGTGAGTGTGATCGAGAAAGGTCCAGAGTATCAGAGAACGATCTCGTATGTGCTCTCATATGGCGGTCGATGCCGAAAGCCAGGACAGGAGCTGCTCGGGTGTCTGCCGGGAGCGATGCCAGCAAGAGTGATGCGAGCAAGAGCGATGAGTCTGCTCACTTGGGTATGAGTTTCGATGCGAGACCCAACTTTGGCCAATCCGTTCCGCCGAGTTATCTAGGCAACCTCGCCATGCTCCATCATTCTCGTATGCCTTTCTCCTGTCTCACCGCACCCGAAACCAGCATCTCCATCGTCGCTCGGATCATCCGCGAGACTGCCAATTCCATAACAACTGCTATGCTCTTGGATGCGTATACATTAGAAAGAGGCGTGCTGGGTTATGAGAGTTTGGTTTTTCGTCCCACAGGTATCGATGGATCTACCACGTTGATATCGTCCTTGCTGATGCTTCCCATCTACGATGCGAGCTTCGGTGATTTTATATTCGGCAATAAGGGGATGCCAGAGGCAGTGAGACCGTTGATGGGGCCACTCAATTGTTGGACTCGCATTGGGTTCGTGCTTCCAAGGAAGACGTCTGGTGGTGTGGAGTTTGCTGTGACCTTGTTCGATGGAGAGCTGGAGCTGTTAGGAGAGGATAAGGGGTTCTCGAAGTATGCAATGTTGCTTTGCTGAGGGGTGTTGAAATGGGTTAAAGGGTCGTAAAATACTGCATGGAAGAGGTCTCGACAAGACTGGATGATACCGGCAGATTGGAAGATACTGGGAAATAGAGGTAGATGTCGAATTGAGGTCTTCGTGAAGTTCACGGCTGCAGCTCTTTCTCGTCTTCACATTGCTGGACGATGATGAGTGTAAACAAAGTGAAGGCGAGATGTTTCTCTTTACTGGGGTCTCTATGCGCCTTGCCGAATGTCGTTAGCCGCTGGGAGATTCCCACTAGATTCAACCCCGCAATCTCGGAATTCTAAGGCCCAGTCAACAGACCTTAATTGTATGCTTCCATTGCTTCACTAAACTCAATGTTTGCTTCGACAAGTACAAACTCTCCTTTTATGTGACTATGAACATCCTTGAAGACCAAGTCACCGACCTGACCTACCTCGCCGACTCACCCATTTCTACCATGACGCCAGCGCCATTGCAAGCCGGTATGAATGGTCGACTGTCCTCGAGTGCGGAAAGCCCTGCGGAAACAGGAGCTGGGAGCGGAAAGAAGAGGAAGAACGACGACGAGTCAACGATGAATGCAAACGGAACCACACATACGAGGGCGAAGAGGAATAGATACATCTCCATTGCATGGTATGTGCCATTGTGCAGCTTCATGTCAAGCTTCTTAATCAACACCGTCACGCGCATTACGACCAGGTCGTTCTCTGCTAACGTCTGCTTCCAGCAACGAATGCAAGCGGCGCAAGATCAAATGCAATGGAAACACGCCCTGCCAAAGATGTGGGAATCTCAATCTCGAATGCCAGTATGCGCCGAACTGCTGCACGAATGGCTTCAAGGAGTCCGAGGAATTCCGACAGATGAATGCACATCTCGCCTCGTTGCAGGAACAAGTCGATAACTTGTATGCCAACCTCAATGCATTGAAAGCGAGTGGAGACAGCATGTCCTTTCCCCAGGCTTCAGAACGATCGATGTCCGTATCTCAACCACCGCCAATCTCACCACTGAGTAGATTCCGACCTACACCGAAGCATCCTTCCTTCCGCGGTCCAACGAGCTCTGCCTTCAGCCTTGATGTGGCCAAAAATACTCTACATAACATGGGATATCAAGGACTGGGAGTAGATGAGGGCATGACTACCCAAGATGCCACCCCAATGGGCTCTCCACCCGCCATACCGCCAAGTACTATAATCCCGGCTGGAGGTCCCGCAAGAGATCCTATCTGGAACCTAAGCAAAGAAGAAACTATTCGTCTCTGCAGAGTGTACGAAGAAGAAATGGGGATCATGTACCCTGTGGTCAACATCGAGCAGCTCATCATCCACGGTACAAATCTATACGAGTTCGTTGAAGCAGCTCTGCGGACCGGCCTTGCCAGCACCTCGTCACCAAAAGGGGTCAATGACGAGCAGTCTCTGGTACTGAAAATGGTACTTGCCATTGCCAATGTTGTAGAAGGGAATGGACAGAGTGAGATCGGGTACAGACTCTTTGAGAGCGTGCGGGAAGCAGCAGATAGAACACTGCATAGTGAGGTGATCGAGGTTAAAAGCCTGCCATTCCTCTGCCTTGTGGTAAGTCTGATTGTTCTTGATCAAGCTGTGTTTTTGTGTTTGTTTCTTCTTCTGTTTCGCTTCAAGTATGCTTACCTGAATGGTTTTGTTGCGCACGATTGGGTTATTGGAGTGAATCGGCGGAGTGCTAGACCTGCAGCATGGGGTGCATCGTGTCAGATGATTACTTTGAGTTGGTGAAAGGGCAATCACCTTGCATTGGTGTTCTTTGATCTTGACAGCAAGCTGCATGTTGATTGATTCTTCTTCTGTTGCTCTTGTCTTTGCTCCTCAGGTGCAAGACTTCGGTTAGACGCCTGGTTTGGTAGACGGTGTGATTTTGATACCCCACCCATGCATGGAGCCTCAACCTCACATACAAAGAGGATTCAGACAGCCAAAATCTTTCAATCCTGAGTGCTTTCAGAGAATGATGCGATGGTCCTATTGTCTCCTCGAAGTAGTTTGTGGGGAAGCCTTTAAATCTGCTAGAGCTGTAGTAGGAAGCGTACACCTCGAGCCGCTCAATCCGCTCGCTCGCTTCATTTGCCACTACGTCGTCTTCGCTTTCAAGTCGGGAGAAATAGATATTATTCCGATATCGCCTCACCAAAAATCAAATGCTCCCCAAAAGTGGCCAAAAAAATTGGGCCAATTTTCTGACTTACTCAGTGAGTCTGCCAGAAAATCGGCCGAGGGATCTCTCAAGGACTTGCACCTTGATCTTACTAGTCAACGACGCGACAAACACATGCTACTATTGCACCAAGAGATCTTTGTTGTGTTTGTTGGAGATATTCTGCTTGTTTAAATCTATTCGACCTTTTGTCGCGCGGCAGCCCCACTAAAAATGTAGGGACCGAGTGTAGACCACGGGACTTTTTCGTCGTGCTTTTGAGATGTCACGGATTTCTATTGATGATGCATTCCATTTAAGTTTGCTTCAGACACACATTTCGAGGAAAAGTGTAAACGATTTCAGGGGCAAAAAAAGATCGGAAGTTCAGTGGTTTGTTGCCACACCTCTGTTCTCCCAATCGAATAGCCTCTCTAGGAATTGAACCTAGACTACTATGCTGCAGAGATCATAGCGTGCTACCCTTACACCAAGAGACCCTTGTTTGATTGACTGTGCTTAAAATACTGCTTATTTAAATCTATATATACACTACACTTTTGGCATTGTGGGGGAAAGGCTCCCAAGCTAGACATCGGCTAGTCGCCTGCATTGGGAACGGTGCATTTATGTTGGCTGACTAAGTCGCCTTTCAAGATCAACAAAGCTTGCTGCAATATTCATTCCAATTAGCTTTTTTCCTCTTTACCCAGTGCATCATTCCATCTCTGCGATCCACACGTTCTCGACCACGCCCAGCTAACAGGTCCCAAAGGCTATCTACCACTTTCACTGCGATGAGGAGGCTTTAGCATGGCGCATCATCGGGCAGGTAGCTCGGATGTGTATCGAACTTGGTCTTCACAGACGCGACTCCCTCTTCAAAGTGGTCACCGATGAGGAGGAACGTTCAGATGCCATTAAGCTGTTCTGGTCCATCTACGTCCTGGATCGGAGATGGAGCTTCGGCACCGGCATGCCATTCGCTCTCCAGGATTCCGACATTGATCCCAGCCTCCCAGAACCCGTATGTTCCAGTCTTTCTCTTATCAACATCTGCTAAAACCATCAGGAACTCCCGATACCATACCTCAACGCCATGATAACCTACTCCCGCATCGGCTCCAAAGTTTGGAAATCGGTCTGCTCTTTTTCTCCGACGCCTTCTCCAACCCTCAACATCGAAGACATCGGCTACCTGGACTACCAAATCCTCCAATGGCAGAAGTCTATCCCATCCGAACTCCAACTCCCAACCGCATCTTCCCCACCTGCCTCCTCCCGTGCGATCCACCGTCTACAAATACTCCTCTACCTTCGAGCGAACCAGATGCGCATCCTGATCTACCGTCCAGTCCTCCACTCCGCATCTTCCATTCAAGAGCATCCCAGCTATGCAACCACAGTCGTCGAATTGGCGAAAGACACGATTCGAGCGTTGACGCATCTCAATCAGACATCAGATATCTACCGCGCGCAGCAAGTATGCTTCAATTACTTCCTCATCTCCGCCCTAGCAGTCATCTTCCTCGCCTCCTGTCACGCACCAGTCCACTTCTCCGCTCTCTGCAGAGACGAATTCTATATGGCTCTCGATCTCGTCAAAGGCTTCTCTACGAAATCTTTCGTCTCGAAACGCCTGTGGAAGACGATCAAAGGATTGAAGGAGGTAGGACCAAAGCTAGGACTGAGTCCAGATATCAACACACATACGCAGCTTGGAGTAGATGATCCTCACTCCAACGCGGCGCTCGCGATGGCGGGCCTTGCGGGCCATGAGATCTCCGGGATGGGGATTAATGGGTTTGAGGGGACGGGCACGGGGGTTACGAATGGGAATAGTCCGATGAATGGGTTTCAGATGAGTTGTGAGATGACGAGTCTTTTTGAGGCGGCGTTGGGGAGTGTTGGTATGAATGGGACGAATGGTGGTGCAGGATCTGGGACGAATGGCGGTGGAGGAGGATATGTCCAGATCCAGGATGGAGATGCGTTGGCAGGGATTGGGAGTAATGTTTTTGGTGGGGATGAGGAGCTTTATAGGCAGTTGAGGGACTTGTTCTGAAGGTAGTGTTTGGGTGAATTAGTGGGGTTGTGTGGTGTGATGTACCGAAACTGTTGTCAGTCTGAAGATATCGGAAAGTGATGGAGATTGCTTGCATGGCATGGGTGATGGATCGAGCGTTTCGGACATTGTATATCCAAGATTGTTCTACCTCTTTACAAGCCTTTTACCTCTACCCCTTTTCAATTTGCATCCCTTCACATCTCTTCCTCTGTCAGCATCATTGAATTTCATGATCGCCTCAACATTCTTCTTGCGGAGTGTCTGTTTGATTACGGAGGATCACGATATTAGGACCCATCTCCAATGCTAGAATGCACCCAGTCTTTGAGGGAAGTTTTCCAGAGTCTCTGTATAAGTCTGCTCAGCTCAATGCAAATTCCAGTCTTCCGATTTGAGTCCAGACGCCCGTGCTATCGGTCGTATCCCCACCTGGCTTGGAACCCCTGAAATCCCATTTTCTTTGGGTGCTCTGTCAATCAGGTTCTTGATTTCAAAAGACTGAACCCTATCGGTAGCTTCAGAGGCGTGGATAGAATGGATAAAGCGCTCGCTGCTAATGAGATCGTGCTGACGGAAGAGGAGGGAAGATTTTTGGAAGCATTGTATGAGCCGCGGCCCATCAAAGGTCATTCGAATTGGAAAAGGATTATTCTCAGCTCAAAATGGAGATTATACATCTCACTACATTACCAACACCGCTTGAAGAGTCCCAATACCCACCCCTGCCAGCGCAACCACATAAGCCGCAACCGCGAACGCGTTCTGGATACTGTGTCCATACACCGCCCACAACACACCCATCAACAAACTTCCAATTCCGAAAATTAAGGACACAATTATCCAAATACTCTTAGTGTTCCATCCTTCGACAAAGTGAAGTCCCCAGCCAAGCTTCACTCCATTTTCACACTTGAGCTTCTCTTTTAGTTTCTTAGGGAAGCGGTCTAAGCAGATTGGGAGATCCAAGGCGTGGTCGGGGTGTTGAAACAGGTGCATCATTTGGTTGTCTCCCACCTGGTGGAAGTTTAAATCAGCCTTGATGCTCCCCTCTTAATATTTGGCTACATGTCGAGCACTTACTGGTGGGATAAATTCAGGGGGTGCAGGTTGATACTTGTAGTCTCGGCGCTCAGCAGGTGGGATGGCATCTTCTTTCCGAACATCGACTAGTTCGCCATACAGTTCGAATTGTACGAACTTAATGCTTTGGAGGGTACGAAGTGAAAACCATGCTACACAGCGTCCACGCATTTCCTGGTAATTACTTCGCAACATTTCGAATAAGTGCTTGTCTGATTTTACTAGCGAGTTGGCCAGGTCTAGCTGCAGAAGCCTAGTCGCGTACCTGATGACTGGGGAGTTAGTTATTGGCTATTTTGGGTCCTGATTGTTACTTGCCTATCTGCTCTGTAGCAAAGAAGAAGGAAGACAATTTCTTGAGGTGAGGCATTGGGTACTCCTGGTTGTCTGTTACCGGCATCTGGTCGAGTTCCCCCAGACTGCCATTCATGAAGGGGTCGCCTTTGTTCCATACCCCTCGGATCTCTTCTA